CCCCCCCCCCCCCCCCCCAATTTTCAGTGAGTTATTTGTACGTTTTAACTAGGAGTGTTTTTGCTTGACACTGGGCCTTTTTATGAAGGAACTTTTAAGTCAAAAGAATATGAAAATTGTGTAGTGTTGGTTCTTTTGAAACCTTTTGCAAGATGTTTTGATGGCTGTAGTGAGTCATTTAGGCTTGTCTCTTCTTTACTGTATTGGAGTTTGGAGAGTCCTATGTTCCATATAGCATGCTGCGAGCAATGGGTCAGCTTGGGCATGACTCTGTATAATTATCAATCCATACCTGAAGCAGAATTGTTCTGCTTGTGAATGGATAAAAGAATCTTTTCTATATATATAGGTGATTGGCCCGAGCTCAGCCCAATTCACCCAATTTATGCAACTTGTCAACTGAAAAGAAAAACCCTGCAAAAGCCATTTACTGTTGTTTTTTTCGGATTGCTTCATATTTGATTGAATCTGGTTGTTTTGGATTTCGTGAATTGCTTAGTTTCAATTAGATTGGGGGTGGTTTTTTTTTTTTTTTTTTTTTTTTTTTGTTTGTGTGTGATTGGAGGGGTTCCTACCAGGTGTCTGTAATGGGGGTGTCTTTGGAAACATAAAATTATTTTGTGTAGTGGCTGCCTTTCTTCAGTAACGTTGGTGACAAAGTTGTAAAACACCTTACTTACCGAAAAAAAAAAAGTTGTAAAACACCACCCAGATCTCTCTTTAAGATATTTGAGGAGTTTAAATTCCATAGGGGAGGCTATGGAAAGAGGAAACAATCTTTAAACTATCAGTCCAGAAGTGAATGAATGGTTGTTGAGTGATTGGTAAAGCGGAATAATGATTAGGATTGAACAAAAACGTTTTAAGGTGGAGTTTGAAGCACAATCTGCGCATATGATGTGCATTACGGAATGGCATCGTTATGGTTCTTTTTCATGTTCAATTGACCAGAGAGTGTGTGCAATGGTCGAAAGAATCCAATTTTAGAGTGTGACGTTGGAATAGAAAGGATGTTTTCTTCAAGAAATTCACGGAAAACAGTTTCCACGTTTGGCTAGAGTTCGAGTTCAGAAACCACAATCTGGGTTCCTTCAAATTTCGTATAAAGTTGATTTTAATGGAAGTTCATATTTGATTTTTTTTTGGTCAATTAGATTATATTTCTATTATTTGAAATGAATGACGGTTACAAGAATCAATACAATTATAAATTATTTTAACAGAAAAACAAATATCAAAAGAAAGCACCCTACAGTAAAGTAAAACACATGAGCCAAAATCATCTTACTCCCTCACGTGTTTCTTTTTCACACATCCTTTCCAAAACCTCATAAGGCCAACACATCCAACCAGGAGAAAGTATATCACTACTTTTTCTGTTTCGCAACCCAATGTGCAATTTTATTATTTTTTTTAGTCACATACTGTATTTCAATCTTAGAAATCAAACGTATGTATTCCCAAATATCCCTCTGGATAGCCTCAATCTCCCTCAAAAAGCAATTATTACCATTATTCAAAGTATCAACACATGCTTTTGAGTCTGATTCCACTATTAGTGAAGGGTACCCTGCAGCTATGGCTATACAACATGCATGTCTAATGGCGCATGCTTCCACTATTAAGGCTGAGTTTGCANAAAGTATCAACACATGCTTTTGAGTCTGATTCCACTATTAGTGAAGGGTACCCTGCCGCTATGGCTATACAACATGCATGTCTAATGGCGCATGCTTCCACTATTAAGGCTGAGTTTGCAGCAAACTTACCTACACTTCCCTGTATTAAGATTCCTTCACTGTCTCTAAAGACTACTCCAAAGGCCCCTCTTTTCTGATCCTGCAACCAAGCCCCATCACAATTAACTTTGGTGGAGCTTTCCATACCTTTACTTTACTCTCTTTCTTCTTACCATTATTATGTTCATTCATAACACAACCCCTCCATTCCTCAATGGCAATGATAGCTTGGCTTATCACTCTTTTGGGCAAAATTTGAACACGATTATATACCCAGTTATTTCTACATTTCCAT